TTATAGTCGCAAAACAATTAAAAAAGAAGTTATAAGGCAATATAACTTGGAAAAAGAAATATTACAAATATTTTTCGCAAACTTTGATGGACGTGTTAGTATTTCTTGAGTTCTTCGTTGGGCCTTCAACCAATTGTGAAAGCAAACTAGATGTAGACATTGTAGTTGACATTGCAGGGAAAAACTTACCAAAAACACATAAGACCGTGGGAAGACGGAGAGAGAAATGTCATAAAATCAATTTTTTTTATCCATCTCTCTCATGTCACATGTGCACCGTGCACATTGTAGCATTGGAGATGCTTAAGCAGAAAGTAGTTTCACGTTCTCTAAATTAGCTTTCCTTGAAAATCTGAATTATTAGTATAAAATTTTATTAGCTTGTACCGCATAAATTCTAAACCAAATGATTTGTTTAAGGGAAATTCTATGGTGCATGTAGTAATTCTGGGGATACCAGTACATTTCTTTGATTGGGCAAATAAGGCAGCAACACGTGCATGTATGCTAAAACATATACGCCTATTAATAAAATGGCATGCGTACTTTTGAACTACACGTATGGTACCTACTTAATGTGATAGGCACCGTAGAAGTACCCTTTATTTATTTATTTTTTGATAATCCAGGTGTCGGGGCTTACGCTCCCATAATCATGGAGTCTATAAACTACCGTGAACAGACAACTTGTCTGCTGGGGGCAGACATGTGTACACAAAAGGTGTACATCAAGCAAAGTTGTTAAAAATATGAAGAAACCTCTCTCTATAATTGAGAGTGTCAACTTTAACGGTAAGGGTTAACAATTTAACTTGCAAACATAATCGGATATCCCAACTCCCCCTTACCGCAACAAAAAAAAACTTCAGAAACCCTCGCTCTGTGATGCTCTCCAGTCTCCATGGAAGTTCTTATTGATATTACGCATACAAGTAGAAGTAATAAATAGAAGTGCTACAAATCTCGTTCAGGTAAGGCTTTCTATCGCATGAGAGGCCAATTATGTAATACGTAGTATGGTTTTCTCTTCCGGCTCTCATGCTCTTTGGAATCTTATTCTTCTCTAATGTCTCTAACGCCACTAGGTTAGATAAAACGAGCAGCGGCACTGTGGATTTGTTAAAGGATAAATGTGGATTGATACTTTTTAATTCCAGAATTTGCCTTTTCTTTTTCAGTTTTTTGATTGAGAATGATTCCTTACTTTTTAATTCCAAAATTTGCCTTTTCTTTTTCAGTTTTTTGATTGAGAATGATTCCTTACTTTTTCATTCCAAAATTTGCCTTTTCTTTTTTAGTTTTTTTTATTGAAAATGGTTCCTTTTAATTTGTCATTTCTGATGATGAGAAATTTGTAGCCATATTTGACATCATTTTCTGGATTTTGAGTAAGTTCCTGAAAAATAACTAGGTTAATCAAAACAAGAGCGACACATAAAAGAGAGAGTTTATAGAGCAGGTAGTATATTGGTGAATAACTGACATGTTCTTTGCTAGTAAGTACCACATATTAATTAACCTCTGATTTTTCAAGTCCTATTAAGTTTTATGAAATACAAAAATGTAATTATGTATTTATGTTATTATTCTCAATAAAGTATGTTCTTGAATGTACTTTGTGCATGCTGAGATTTTTTTAAATTTGCTTAACACAGTTCTCTACTCATCTTAAGGCTTACTTATATATTTATTGATAGTAGAAAATTTATTTATTTCCTGAATTCATTGCAATATTTTGATTTATTAATGTTTTGTCACACACATTATATTTCATATTAAATGATTTTAATAAGTTGATTTACATTTCCTTTCTCTTTTAGGAATGGGAATTTTCAATGTCCAAGTTTTGTGCAATGGGAGTTTGTATCACTTTAAGAGTTTGGACAGTGAGAACACTAGCTTGATTGATATGGTTAATTTTGTGAAAACCATGGCACTGAATTTGTGTTTAGATGGTAGTGAGTTGTATGTTGTGTATGCAACATCTCCTTTGAATGATGAGAAGATAGAAATAGTGACTGACAGGCAACTTCTGAGTATTTATGATGATCATGAAGCTCGTGGGTTGAAAAATGTAAACTCTGAGATTGACTGGCTGCCACTTAGTATAGAACATCCTGGTTTCCCCTCACACGCCTCCTTCAAAATGATGTAGAGCAAGGTCCTAGAGCAGATTCCGGGATTGATAGGAAGAGCTTGAGTTTGACAGCTATATTGAAGACCAATCTATTCACAGGATATGCAGCAAGTACGGTGATAGAAAAAGGCATGGGGCCCATGTGCAACCTCGACTGAAGATTGGGATCATGATCCTAATGAGCAATTTGATTGGAGCGATAATGAGGATGCTGAAATAAACGTAAATGAAGTTACTGAGGTGGAAAAAGAAGGTTCTGAATGTGGGAGTCATTACGAAGATAGTGAGCTTCCAAATAATGCAAGAATGATGGACTTATTAAATGGTGATGATAATTCAAAAACCGAATTTGACCGTGAAGGCGAGGATTTCATAGCTTCAAGGGTGAAAAGACATATTAAGGGGAGGATGTGGGAGCTAGGTTTGGACGGAAAAGTTCTCTTCAAAAATAGGAGATATGTTCATTAGTGCTGATAAGTTTAGAAGTGTACTCGAAGACTATGCAATACAAGAAGGAGTGACCATTTCAAGGATTAAAAATGAGAAGTCAAGAGTTACCTATGTGTGTGCCGTAAAAAATTGTAAGTGGAGAATTCATGCCTCAAGACCACATTTCAAGTGAAGACGTATATTAGAAAACATACATGTATTAGATCAAAGACGATTGTGAAGGCTGATGCAAAATGGATTGCAAATAAGTATTTAGATCTATTAAGGAGGCATCCCGACTTACCAATTCAAGTGTTGAAAACCCTTTTGCTAGAAAAGCAAGACGTGGAGGCGAGTAATCTAACACTTTATAGAGCAAAAGCTGCAGCAAAGAAAATGTGTTCTAGTGATTATGTTGCAAGTTACCACAAGATTCACAAATATTATCAAATTGTACTGCTAAAGAACTCGAGGTCAATTGCATTAGAGCTAAAAACTACGTGCAGATTGGTTGTGAACGTGTATGATCGTATGTGTTGTTGCAAAGCACCTGCCAGCTACTTATAAGAGGATTTGTTGTGTGTTAAATGAAGTGTTAATGGACCTGAACATTGGACATCAATGACCAGTCCATTGGGCATTGAATCGGCCATAAATTGTCCATTTAACGATGCATTAAAAGATAAGAACGTTGGACATTTATTGATGTAACGGTTCAGAAGACCTCGAGCCTTTCTGTTGCGACCAGAAGACCTCAACCCCTTCTGTTGCGACCAAAATACCTCAGCCCCTTCTGTTGCGACCATAATACGTCGAGGGTTTCTGTTGAGCCGAACAGAAGTGGAGCAATTCTGTTGAGAATAGAACCTTCTTCTGGTGCGGAAAGAAACAGAGCGATTCTGTTGAGAACAGAACCATCTTCAGGTCCGATCAGTTCTACCAGTCTGGAAAAAAATTAAAGAACGTTACGGGAAGAAACAAAAATTAAATCATATCTTTGAATGATAAATTTTTGGACGGCATTCGTGTTCGCAGGTCGCCCGCGCACACGAGTCGCGGTTTTTCTTCTCTGTTTTCGGGATTTGATCGGCACCCCCTGCGCGCGAAGAAAACCTTTCCTCATAGGAATCTTAACTCCTTCAAAGAAGGTTCCCTTTATAAGGGGGTGAAAATCTCATGGGTTTTTCGGTGTGGATAAATCCCACCAGAAACCCCATCAATTTCCCAGTTTTTCCATTTTAACGAGTGAACTTCAAGAATCAATTTCTCATTCACCTGTTATCCGTTTTGAGTGTACCATATATCGAATTGTAGCTCTTAACAAGGACAATACGAACTACTTTGACCCGAACCAAATCGAAAGTGGACCTCACTCAAAAAATTCCCCCAAATTGACCATTTAATGCAATTTTTAACACATTTTTTCAACAATCCAACACATGAATGAAAATTGATTTTCGAGACTCAAAAAAGACACGAAAATAGGAGAACATGTTGTGTTCACCGGATGATACCTGCATACAGAGAGGTAGGTTTTATCCTTTGAACCTTCCGCTGTAAAGATATGTTTATTTACTGGTTGTCTAGTAGACCCGATGTCCTTGAATTATTCTGCTGTTGTGTAAACATTGATCTATCTTTACACAGAACTCTTCCAACTTTGTTCCGTTCTCATGGATGTGCCCGTTTTGGCCATGGGTCACCGTCCTGGTTCTGTAAGAGTTTCTAAAGAATTGAGCCTTTACAGTTCTCCTTTGAAGCGGCCCTCTTCTCTCTCACATAGGTGATTCTTTCACGAGTATCCCGCATACTCTTCCAATGTTATCGATTAGATCAACATTTTAGAATCATTAAAGCAAACATTTTGTCTAACCTCATGCTGGAGTCACTGTTTCAACGAGGAGTGGGTAAGAGTCCGAGACCCCCACAGTTACCATCCTTTGCTCTATAATTTAGTTGTCTCTTTTGATCCTAGGACGAACTAGGTTGGACATCCACTATAGAACTTTTCAATTCACGGGCTTTAGTCTCATTCCTCGTGACAACTTCTCCAACAATTCTCTATCCAATGATTTGGTAAGCGGATCCACTATGTTATCCTTTGACTTTACGTAGTCAACAATGATAACACCCGTTGTGAGGAGTTGTTTAATGATGTTATGTCTACGACAAACGTGTCTAGACTTACCATTGTACATATTGCTTTGTACTCTTCCAATTGACGCTTGACAATCGCAATTTATGCATATTGGAGGGACATACTTTTCCCAATTTGGAATATCCTCGAGAAAATGATGTAGTCATTCAACCTCTTCAGTGCACTTATCTAAGGCTATTAGCTCAGATTCCATTGTGGATCTAGCTATTTTTATGGAAATCTAAAAGTTTTAGAAACATAAAAACAATGCACGTTCTTAAAAAGGTACAAAGTTCGGTAGAAAGGGTAATAATGGGCTTTCTTCGACGGTAGTTACACAGGTGCCACTTTGTTCTAGTCATTCATTTCTCCATTACAAAAAGAATAATCAAGGATCCTCCTGAATAGTCTTTAGCCAGTAAAAAATGGGCCAAAACCATTCTCCACTTGGATTCAAGTTCAATTCTAATTCTCCAAGCGCGTAGTATGATACAACACTAAACCATTCTGTATCACACTCACAGATTTGAAGAAGTCTGGTGTAAGAGCTTCAGGTTAAGATTGGGATTCAGGACTCGGGACTTCGGGAGTAGGAGTGTGCACAATCCGATTTAAAATCGGATTATTCCAGTTGGAACCAGATTTAACCGATTTCGCAATATTGTTAAAAATGTATTTACTAATACTAATATAATAATAGTTACAAAATAAAATTTAATACTCTATACTAATAACAATATATAATAGCAATCAATTTCATAATGATTATAATATATATTATCCTAATATCAAGGTTTAAAAAGGCGGTTTCGGGTTTCAAGGAGGTTTGTTCCCAAGAGGCGAGGCATAAGCCTTGAGGCGTATTGAGGCATAAGCCTCAAAAAATACAGACATATAAAACTTGATATAATTAAACTAGTAACAAAAAGTGTGAGACACAAATACAAGTGACCTATTACTAGTAAGTCACTAGGCTTCAAACTAGGGGTGGACTCGGGCCGGGTGGCCCGACCCGGAATCGGCCCAGGTGGCACGACCCAGAACCGGCCCGGGACCGGTACTGTTCTGGCCCGGCCCGACCCGGTGGCCCGGTCAGTGACCGGTCCGGGTAGGCCTGGCCCGTGGGTTTTCCGGTCCGGGGCTCGGGTCACCCAAAACAAGGCCCAACCCGGCCGGGCCCGAGCCTGGTTCGGGCCAAAACCTATATTTTTTTTCAATTTTTTTTAAATTTTCGGGTTGGGCTAGGTATTTTGGGCCATTTGGAGTGGTTTGGGGGTTGGGGGTGGGAGAGGGTTAATTAGGAAGAGGAAAACAAAAAAAAAAATTATAATGGGCCCAGCCCGGACCCGGACCGGACCCGGTGGTTACCCGGGCCGGTCCCGGGTCCACCATTTCTGAACCGCCGGCCCGCACAAGACTAGGCCTGACCCGGACCCGAGTCCACCCCTACTTCAAACACACAAAAAGAAACATCTCACAAAAACAGACACATCACAATCTCACAAACACACAGAAATAACCCACACAAATTTCATCACCAGGGCCTTCAGAACTACTAGGTGTAGCAGTAGAAGCATGACATCATTTCTTTGAACCTCTCACCATTAAACTAAATCTACACAGAAGTATTATTAATGACATGACTAAGGAAGCAAAGTAAATCCGTTACCACTTAGAAAACATGAACAACAATTTTGTAAAAGAAGGATAAGAAGCAGTGAAGGAGAAGAAGAAGAACGGTTCTGTAAAAGAAGGATAAAAAGCAGTGAAGGAGAAGAAATGAAGGAGATGAGTTGAATAAGAATAGGAGAAAGAGAAGGGGATGGAGAAGAAAAGTTACCCGGCAGCTTTTGGGCTGTTGTAAAGAAATGTCGCAGGAGAAGAGAGATTTCTTTGCGTAGGTGAATAGAAAGTATACGTTAAGGTTCAAATCCTTCAAATCCTTATCAGGATTTGAATGAAATAAGACTTGTTAGGGTTTAGTATATGGACTTCTATTTAGAAAGAACGCTGGGCTTTTTATTAAATGAAATACTTGGGCCTGTTTTAAGTCACTGCGCAAGTGTTCAAGGCGTGCGCCTCAACAAACGCCTCAAGGCACGCCTCAAGGCGTGTGCCTCAATCTATGACGCCTCTTTACCTGCGAAAAAAACCTAAGCCTTGATACCCAACCAGTACACCTCAGCTTGAGGCGTGCCTCAGAACTCACCTCATAAGCGCCTTTTTAACCATACCTAATATTACATTTATCCATTCATTTTTATTCTCGTAATAATAAAACTAACTAATAGATATTATTCTAGTCTCAAGTTACTCTAATATTTGCTCATTAAAAATAATTAAAATGAGTTTAGAAAACAATAATAATAAAAGTAATATTTTTAAAAATAAGTACTCCATCTTTATCAAATGATTAGTAGGTTTTTTTATGATTATTAGGTTTTTTAGTAAAGAAAAAAATTATTTATTCAGAAATCGGTTTTTCGGTCCAGTTCCGGTTTTTCCGGTCAGGAACCGGATAAACTTGCTCTTTTCCGGATAAAAACCAGAACACATCTGGTCTGGTTTTTTGTTTCTATATCATGCCAAATCTGATTTGGTTCCGGTTTCAATCCAATTCGGTCTGGTCCGGTTTCGAACCGGTGCACACCCCTACTCAGGAGCGCCATTAGCTTCTCATAGTTCTCCAAGGGTGTTGTCTTGTGGGACTTCTCACTTATCATGCTTTATGGTAAAGAGTCATTGGCTAATAAAGAGCAGAAAGAGAGCAACCACCCTCAAAAAACTCATTTACCTGTCCAAGATTCATATAAAATCTCATCAGACCAATCCTAAGTAATGGAAGTTTAAACAATACTCCACAAGTTATCAACTCCAAGTATTTCTGATGGTGAAAATTACTGCATGTTTTATTACCCGAATGGAGGATCATAAAAGCGGATAATGACTAATGATAGCCTAAACAATTTTGTGAAGCTGCCACGGTCACAAACATCAAATGCTCTGCCTTAGACCCTCAGTCTATATCTGGATAATAAAATGTTTCTACAGATGTATTAAAGGTTAATCGAAATGATTTATGATCAAGTGTTGTGTTAATCTTTCAACTTCTATAAAATCTCAAATATGCATCAAGGTGTAAGCTTGGCCTTCCCAACAAACTAACCATGACAGAATAAAAAGGGTTGTTGAATACACATTCTTCAACAGTGGAGGAAATCAATGGACATCTGGAAAGGCAAATATATGACAAATAGTAGTATTAAAAATAATGGAAACAAATAGTAGTATGACTTTTATTATGTAGTGATAATAGTTGTACTTTTGAAGTGAACATGGATCAGTGAGTAGTGACGATTGTGGTATCTACACAATGACACTAGTAACAATAAGTTTTACTTCAGTAATATTATAGGAAAAACCATGAATAAATAAATTTCAATACAATAAAGACGAAAACAAATAAAATGAGGCTCAGGATAACATTTACTCTATCAATCGAAAATACAACAAATCTGCAATGGCTGCAAGAAAAAAATCTGCCACGCCAAAATACAAGCCAGACTGAAAATCTGAAATTTTCATTAACAATAATCATCACAGCCTCAGATGCAGGGTCCATTTGCATCCAAACAAGACAACGCAAAGAAAATTAGAAAGGAAAACGGAAAGCTGCAAACAAAAAATAAGATATTTGTGACAAACTTACACAGCCAAGGTACAGGGGTAAAGCTAAGTACATCCGACCTCACCGTAGGTGGGAGCCTTTGAGGCACCGGGGTAATGATGATGATGATGATGATGATGAAATGCATGCATATACATACATACTGCATAGATATTCTCTACGAGAATGCAGAGGGTTGTTGGTTAATTATTTTTAAAGCTGGAGGAAATCATTAGCTACAGAAGGAGGGCAACCACCCAGAAAAAACCCAAACTCACCTCTGGTGCCTCATCCTTTTCTATTGAGATGTACAACATGGTTGAAAATACTTTCATAAGGGCTGTTCTTCCTGAACTCTTTTGCGGAGGCTCAGATTTGTGTCTACAGGAGGTAATGAGAAGAGCAATCCGCCATGGCTGCAATATGCTGGCAATTCCAGAATTGCCCTGCCAAGATACGGATTGGATGCACCAAATACCCCAAAATTTAGTTGCATAAAACAATCATCACAGCCTCTTCTGACATATATACATACATACATACTGCACATATATTCTCTGAGAGAATAAGGAGGGTTGTTGGTTACTTGTTTTCGAAGTTGGAGTAAATCATTGGCTACAGCAGAGGGAGGGCAACCACCCAACAAAAGAACTCACCTGTGGCGCCTCATCCTTTTCTAATGAGGGGGTGTTTGAATCTACTTCTTAAAAAGGAACAGAAGCATATATTGAAGTGTTTGGGTGAAGTGTAGAAGTACTTCTGAGTGCTCGAAATTGCTCTTAGAAACAGTTTTTAGAAGCTGGAGAGACCAGCTTTTGAAAACTGATTCCCATTCTACTTCTGCTTTTAAAAAAGAAGCAGAAGTATAATCAATTCCAAACACCCCCGAGTCAATGAGAAGACTGATCTGCCATGGCTGCAATAACCGGACCATTCCAGAAATGCCCTGCCAAGATACGGATTGGATCCACAAAATGCCCCCAAAATTAGTAGAGCATCAAATAATCATCACAGCCCCCAAAACATTAGCTAATCGACATTTTCGCTCTAGTACAATGGACTATTTGATAGTTATCCCATGAATTTTTTAAGGGTAATACTTTAAAGCCAGTTTCATAAGAGTAACTCTTCTATTGAGGCTCAGATCTGTGTTTCCATCAGGCAATGGGGAGACCGAACCGCCATGGCTGCAAAACTGAGGCTTCCCAGATTGCCGCGCCATACGGGCTGCATCCTCGAAATGCCTTATAATCTAGTCACGTGAATCATCACTGCCTTTTCATACACACACACTCATAGTGTGTACATATACTCTCTGAGAGAGTAATTATTCATGTGAGGGTTATTATTAGCCAAAAGAACACCAAAGACAGTTAGCCACCACCCTTTAAAACTCACTTACTGTCTAAGAGTTCATATAGAGGCCTCATCATCCAAAACATCAGACCAACCTTAAGAATAGAACTTGGAAGGGCAGTGGAACCTTAAATAAATAAATAAATAAATAAATAAATAAATGATCTTCAAGTTATCAACTCATAAGATGATAAGAATTTTCAGGGAGAAAATCAAAGCAGTTTCAATTACCCAAACAAAGGTTCAGAAAAGCCAACAGTTATCAGGCAGGCAAATTTAAGATTCCGCCATGGCTGCAAACATCTGGTGCTCATGAGGGTGATGAGACTCATGAACCATGAGTGTTGCCCCGCCAAGATACGGGTCAGATCACATCAATGCCGAGAATGAAAAGGAAGGGCTAAATATCATCATCACCCAGTTATGCAATCCCTATCCTCCAGTCCACCCCAGAAAAATTAGGACAGAAGGATGAATATACTGTGATGCTCATTGTTTGAGTACGTGTATATGGATTGATCTTACACTGCTCTCCATCTTTCTCTATATATTGTTTTAACTCCGATATCATGCATCGATTCATGTCAACCGACCCCAAACTCTTTAGGAAATAAGGCTTGGATGTTGTATAGTGTATACTTGTGTGTGTGTGTGTGTGTATAGTTAATCTATCGTGAGAATGGTCATTCCCATGACATATTGGAAAGATGTAAAAATATGCACATTTATGTTTCTGGTAACTACTCATATATTACCAAATATGGAATGGAACAAATTTAGTAGGATGAACGAAAAAGGTAAAATGGGACAAAAATAGGGGGCAGAGGGAGTAAACAGTTATCAAAATAAACGCACACTCCAGATTGACTCTTATTTCACTCAATAGATCACTTCATCAGTTGATTCAAAACATACATAGAAAAAAGTGTGAGAGTTCAATATTCATTTCTCAATTGTGTACTATAAAGCAACAAAAATATAGCTTTCAGCAATGGAGTTATAACTTCTTGTCGGTTGTTTTTACTTTAAAAACTACTATTAAAAATAACAAATATGAAGCTACATGTTTTGTCGGCTAAATTTTTAAATAATTGATATTGGTATAAGTGATATATTGCTATAATGGTGGTAAATGTCAGATTTCATCAAGATTTCACTCCAAGGATGTTTTTGTTTGGACTGTTTTCAGTTCCGAATAAGACAAGACTTAAACAGAGCCTAAAGCAAACCAGAATTTCAGTCCAAAGTAAAAACATCCTAATACGTCTTACGCTAAAATGAACAAAAATAGTTGCACTTAAATTTCAAAAGGAATTTGGTAGGATAGTACTTAGATTTACTGATAAACGAGGAAATCTACTGATAAACGAAAATTAAATACTCCTTATACACATAAAAATCAAAGGATACACCTAAGAGTAAAACTTTTATTATTGCATAAAAAAAAAATATCAAATTTTTATGGAATTTACAGAAAACTCCCTTGAGAGGCTCAGATCTGTTTCTCCCGAGGGAAATGGATAGCCGAGACTGCCATGGCTGCAACAACCGGGTCCTTTTCCGGGTTGCCCCGCCAAGATACGGATCGGGTCTTCCAGATGCCTCAAAATTAGTAGCCCAGAAAGGAAGAGAAACACGGAAGTCCATATCATCACAGCCTGTTCACAGTTCTTAATAATAATAATAATAATAATAATATTATACTACGTACGTACTGGCAGCAGTTTCAGATGCAGACAGAAAGATCGAATAAAGAAAGCAGAGCGAGTTCATGATCTATGGAAAAGGTTGGTATTGTTGTTCTTTTTCTTTTCTGTAGTTTCTTTCTTGCGAGGAAGAAAGAAGAAAGAGCGGTTTGAGAAGGGGCATGGATGAATCATGCGCAGATGAGAGGGAGGCAACTGCCCTTTTAATAAACTCCCATCCCTCCCTGCCTCACTCCTTTCTGGGCTCAGACTCGTGAGTGCAGATCACTCATCCGACTTATAACCTTGTCGACCATAGACCGAGAAGGATGACAACCCTATTGGAACTATTATAGCAATCAAACTTCTCAAAGTTCTCCCAACTGTACATCGTTGAACCTCTTCATGAGGTTCCTTACAATCAAAAGGCCCTCTCACACTCTCTGACTAGACATAGAATAAATCATCCTGAAAAGACTATTCGCTAACCATGTGAGAGCATCGAAGCTTTTAACGGCCAAACAAGCCTTATAGCTTCCACTCACTGAAATATCTTGAGCAAAACAAAAAAAACCAAAAAAGAAAACTACCCCTAGAGTTCCACATGAAAACGAAAGCAACTTTGTCAACTGAAAATAAAAAAGCGTAGAAATAAATAAAAACTTCCTGGCCTCCTGCCTTATTTGTTCCATCCTATTGTGAGAATGTAGCTATCAGGTCTGTGTCTGGCGAGATACAAAATTGTAGCTCGCCTCCTCCCCGTTTTTCCCCTAGCATGAACAAGTTCCATCTCTTCCCCTGTCTGGTAATCTTCTGGGTCCTCTACCCGCATGCGCTTCTGCTCGAGATTCCCTCTCTCCTTTGATGAAGACCCGCTTTCCAAGATGCTTGGTCGCACATCCTCTTCGCTATTTCTGATGTTATCCTGGCTACCCAAACTGATTCCTTTACCTGCTGGGACGAGCCATTTATTCTTCTTTTGATGCCTTGCCCCTTTTGTTGCCCTAAGCCAAGGACCAAAAGGTCTCTCACCGGTTACGTCGTTACCCCTCCTCTTAGGAGGACAATGGCTCTCAATATGACCTATTATTCCACACAAAAAGCAGAAGCAAGGCAGTTTCTCGTAGCAAAACCTAACACGGAAGTTGACTCCTTCCTCTTTTTGCAAGAATAATTTCCTTTTCAAGGGTTTTCCCAGGTCAATACAGACTTGAATTCTCATAAACGATTCCCAACTCTCAGAGAAGTGGTTTTCGTCAACTTTTATAAAAATCCCCAAAAAATTTCCAATGCGTTCCGCATTATCAATAGTAAAGTAACCCACCGGGATGTCATGAACTTGGACCCAGAATTCAGCTTTGTTTAGAGGAACAGACATACGGATATCACCCTCTTTAAGCCTACTCAGAACAATTAGGTTCTGGTCGAACAACCACGGTCCCTCTTCTGCTACCCTATTCATATCCACTTCATTATAGAATTGAAATACGTATCGTCTAGGACCAATTTCAGTTATAGTAAAACCTTTTTCAGGTTTCCACACAGACGCCATAATTGTGATTCTTTTTTAAAACAAGAACAGAATTAAAATCAATTTTGAGAAATTGATCACCTTCAATTTAAAAAAACAAATTCTAGAAGTAACTTAGGACACTAGAAGAATTTCTCCACTTCCACTCAAACACTCCAATTTCTGTTTTTCTTTCTGACTTGAACTTAGAAGAAACATCAGAGAATATGAAGTCAAATGGGGGAATTGTTAGAACATTATTTATTGTGTTCGAATTAATTGTAATTATATTTGATTAATTAATTTCAGTATTAGCAGTTTTTTAGTTGAGAGATAAACAAACATTTTATTCTAAAAAAGCTCGCACGCCTACCTGTTTTAATTGTACTAGGATGTTCGAATTCTCTCATATAAATACATGCAGAGGGGTCGAACACCCTAAGTCTTTACACATTAAATTTCGCACCTATTATTCTGGTAGAGCACCTCTCTAGTTTTTCTCTCTCAACACTCCATTCGTTTATCATGTATTATTGTCATATTATTATAAAAAAATGGTATTGATTGTTGATGAATTATTCTTCTTCTACTCAGTTTCTCCATATTATTAGATTTTATTCTACCGTTGATCTGAGATTACACATAGGGTTCAATTCGGTGTTTGTAAAGTATGAACATTCAATTGACTTTTTCAGTATAGTGCGAGAACTTATTTTATTGTTTTCCTTTTTATTAACATGGCTTGAATTTATAAATTGGATGTTTACATTGTACACAATAATCGAGATTAATAATGATGTTTTTATTGGTTTTCAATCCCAAACTCCCATACCAAATCAGACTTAACACACTGACTTAATTATATCAAAATAGATGATATCAAAACAAACTTCGACAACTATAAAATACACAGACTAATCATATATCTCACTAAACTTAAACAAGTCAAACTAACCTAGAAATTTCAATATCGTATACTAATGCACTCTGAACATCCATCTCAATGGACCTTATTGTTATTAGTTAATACTTAATACTCCCTCCGTCCAGCTAAGATTGTCCCATTTTACCTTTTCGGTCCGTCCCACCAAGATTGTCTCATACCAAATTTGGTAAAGTTTGTGTGACTTTAAATTATTCTTACTTTATTCTTACTTTATCGATTCAATATCAACCACAAAAACCACTTTTTATTAGTTAACGTGCCACTATCTCTTGTCCCATTGTTAGAGGGACGGAGTGAGTAGTTCGTATTATCTTTGAAATTATTATTTTTATATTTATCTAAACATTTCATTTACCTTACTCAATATTCATTTTTAATAACTTCAAAGGTGATTAACTCTAAATCTTGTTCGAGCGCTGACGGTTGCATGTGGTCCTTTTGTCGTTTTAACCTCTATCTAAATGTTGTGTTATCAATTTAAGCTCTCTTCTTCCAAAAAACACTTCAAAACATTATATTTAACCCCGTTTTTTGTTTTAGGTCATAGGTTTACTCTTATGCACGTGCTCTTTTATACGGCGAAGTATCATAATCTATTTGTTCTCACTTTCAGATGTATCAAAATAAATAATCATTTCACACTGATTTTAATTTTTGAAGAATGTAAATATGCAATTGGATAACAAAGGGGGTGTTTGGAACTGATTCTTGTTCTGTTTCTTTCTTAAAACAGAAGCAGAATCAAAATCAGTTTTCAGAAGCTGGTCTCCTCCAACGTCTAAAAAAACTGATTCTAGGAGTAAATTAGAGCACCAGAAGTACTTCTGCACTTTCGCTCAAACATTCTAACTTTTGTTTCTGCTCCCTAACGGAATACAATCAGTTTTAGAAATCAAATCCAAACACTCCCAAAGTTGTGCTATTTGTTGAGAGCAGCCCGCAAGGGGATTGTCCCTAGCAACGAAAATTCCTTCTAAGTTATATGTGATTGAGGGTTCTCATAAATGATGAGGTACATTTCTTATATACTTCGTATATCTTACCCTTGCTTATTTCATGTATTTTGAATTCCTTTTTCCCTTTATATCATGAATTATAGAGTACATCTTACGAGTTATCATTGATTTTTTCTAGATATTATGTAACAATGCACTATCCTTTCTTTCTAGACTATGAACTTAGATTACTACAATTATATTTCTACTGTTCTTTATTAATTGTAACATTCTCATTTTCAAGCTTGTCAATGCTAACTTTGACCGTCATAATTGTTTTTACTCTATTAGTAAAAAATATTTAAAAACCACTAGTGGAAAAACGTCAAACGGAGGCGCTTTATTTGAGGCGCTTTTCAGCGCAAGCGCCTCTGTTAAACGAATATATTAATTTTTTTTATTTTTTACGAAAGCGTGCGGCGCTTCTGGGCAAGAAACGCCTCCAACATGTTTCAGAAACTTTTTTTTTTGAATAATGTGGCGTGCAGCGCTTTCTTCATACAAGCGCCTCTAATCCCGTTTTTTTTTATTTCGCTCAAGCGTGCGGCGCTTTCTTCACAGAAGCGCCTCTAATCCCTTTTTTTTTTATTTGCAGCCCAAGCGTGCAGCGCTTTTTTTAACCCTAGCTAAGCGCGCACAAGCTAAGGACGACAAATCTCAAGCGTCGTTGATGACGAGCAGTCGCGCACCGACACAAAGCTCAAGCGTGCGTCGTTGATTGTTCGAGCAGCCGCACACCGTCAGTCCGCCTCCGTGCATCTGCTAGCGCCATCGCCGCCGTCTGTTCAAGCAGATTGTTGGAACTGCACCACCGCCGTCGGTCCGACACTTTCCCTGCTCGCTCACTGTCGATCCGACTCTGTCCCTGCTCGCTCGCCATCGACTGGTCGCTCGGATGCAACTGCTCCGGCACGCCATCAACGGCTACGACTCGGCGTGGACTGCTCCGGCCAGCATCGCATAAAGGTCAGTTCATTTATCAATTAATTTTTTGGTATATTTTGTTTGATTTTAATATTATTTGATTTTAGTTTGAATGTTTTTCAGATTAAAGGATATTTCCAATGATATCCATTGTTCCCATGTTTAGGCTTCCTTAATTTTTAATGGAATTACATTTGACATTGATAAAGGTGAGTTTATTTGTTCATTTTTTTGGCATATATATTTGGTTTTTCATTTTTATTTGATTGTAATTTGATGTTTTTGGACTGCTCTGGCTCATAGTTAATTGTAATTTATTACTCCATAATTGTTTATTTGACATGGATATCATTGTATTTTATTTGATTATAGTATGTGTAATTATCAGTTGTATTATGACATTATTGTGTATATTTTTTTTGTTGGAAGTGGTTAGTTCTTGAATTGGTAAACTTTTTAGGAATAAAAGTATACTTCTGCTTATTCATCATGTTTTACTTGGCAAATGTTGCTGCTGTTTTTTTATTTTAATTTGTAAGTGTTGCATGATGGTTTTGGTAAATGTTGGTGCTAGTTTTTGGTAAATGTTGCTGCTTGTTTTTGGTAGAGGGTTGGCAATGATTTAACATACAATATGCTGCACACCATGTGTACAAAAGAAAAATATAAAACCAGTTAAACGTACAAGCTTTTATGGACTTTCGGATCCTCACCAAGCGGAAAAAACTCCAACCCAGACACAAACAAACTCTAATTGAATTGTTAAACTTTTGCAGCTGACATTTTGGTTTAGTTAGCAAGGGTTGCAGCTGGGTTTTTTTGTTTTATTTGGTAAACGTTGCAACATGTTTTCATTTGAATTGATCCACAATTGTTGAAAGTGGTTAGTTCTTGAATTGGTAACCTTTTGTAGCTGGTTTTTGCTAAAGGATGTGTATTAACCGTTAACAAA